ACACAGACCGTATCACGGAGGATAGCTCAGTGTAGAATTGATCACGCGTGTCATCAGGATAACACATGGTCGGACCGTACGTGCTTATAAAAGTAGCAAACTTACCTCTTCCGAGTCGTAGGCGAACAGTCATCAGTCGCGCGCTGATGCCCGTTGGTTCACCCACCAGCTGGCCATGAAGGCGATCGGATATTGCAAATCCGACCCCATGTTCACGTGGTGCTGAGGCGGCGTTGCCCACCCAGTAGAATGTGTAGCCAGCACCTGCCTCATGCAACTTACCTTGCTCAGCGAGCCGAGTTTCACTGAGCGCCGCAATATCGACGTTGTAGCGCGCCAGCTCCATCGCGACCAGTGCAGTGCGTCGCTCGGGGCGCTCGCTGGAGTTGCGGTCCAGTAGTGTGCGCACGTTCCAGCACCCGATGCTGAGTGCTTTGCGCAGGCATACGATTGCATTGGTGGGCAATCGCACGCGAGGTGGTCGTTGTGCTTCGGAGGTTTGCTTGAGGGACTCCACCCGGAGCCTTTGGCTCAATAGCCTGACCCACAAGGCAGTGGGTGGTTTGGAGGTTTGCTTGAGGGACTCCGCCCGGAGCCTTTGGCTCAATAGCCTGACCCACAAAACAGTGGGGAGCAGATCCAGCTCGGGAATGAGATTGCGGAGACAGATGGGGATCTGCTTGACGGCAGTCACACGCAGCCTTTGAGGTACTGGAACAATTATTATATGTTTTGCGACCGTAATTGGATACGCACCTGCGACCACGGCCAGACGCAGGTGGGTTTTTGGCGGGTTTGCACCAATTTGACCAGGGGCTGCCTGGCTTGAGGCGGGCAGTAGCAAACCATTGGACACCCGGAGGTGTCCTCCCACCGTCAGAGACAATGCGTGGCACTGGTGCTCTATGCCAATCGAGCTGTGAGCTTATAACCCGTAAACCTGTTGTCTCCCATGGCTAGGTTTTACGGGAAGAGGGCCATCGACCACTTCCTAACCTCCGGAGAGGATGGACTAGGATACTGCCAGGGCGCCCAATCCTGACAGGAGAACGACTCGGGTCCTCAGCCAAAGCCTTTGATCAAATGAGCACCCGAAAGGCACCGGGTCTAGCATATGGTCAGTTAGCCGACTCATGCGGATTGGTTTCCTGGATCTTAGCAGGGAGAAGAGCGAAACCCAACTCCCACCCAGCGGTCGCCACAAGGAGGCGCCCAGGACATGAGACAATGGCGCGACAGTAGCAGCAGCGGGTAGACCATCTGTCTGGATCTAGCCACCACCAGCCTCAGCGCACCATAGGAAATGCTTGGCGGCATCCGGTTTCGGATTTGCCTGTCACTGTGGCCAGCCACAGTACGCCTGCGCCTACAGAGGGACCATGGATGGCTTGCGCTGCACCACCCACAGCTCCATCCACACACCCCATATCCAGTGTAAGCCCGAAGGAATAAGACCGGGAGGTATGCGGATGGGAACCACGTTTCATCAACGGAGCCGGCCCACACTCCTTCACAGGCAAACACAAACACGCTGTATTTGGGAATCAAGCGCACCCAAGGCGGTGGCTGGACCGTAGTCCGCTCCACACTGAGTGCATGGAACCACTCTTCGAGCCTAGCACAGCCACAAGGGCTGTGCACCCCGTCCCCTCCAGCAACGACCAACTGTCTCCTGGAGCCAGATGGACGAGGTAGTGGGTAATAGACAGGTAGGCACCTTGTCAACATGCACATCAAGCGCAGCCACACCTGGGATGTCAAACAACAACCAATCATTCGAAATGCCGATATCGAATAAAGTAAACACATATGACGACATAAATACTCGCTAAATGAGCATATGGAAGAAAGTGGTTAAATGTGAATACGCGATAAGTGCAAAATGTCCGAGTTATTGAAAAAATACCACGCGATAAAATTACGCAAGTTTACCACAATTTGCATGAGCGACGTGTGTAAATTGGGCGAAGATTATCAAGTACGCAGAACAAAAAAATAAAACCTAATGAATTTTATCCATAGGAAATACCTACATACATACACATAATACAATACACAAAGGAAAAATAGATACAACAGTTGCATGCCAGCTGAGCCACCAGCAACGGATAGGCATCGTTCCGGTAAGCTTCCAGCCAGCTACTAGGCAAAAAGAAAAAAAGTATTATGTTTTACCCTACGAAATGCGATCGTAGATGGAGGGGAGGCTAAAAAGAATGGGGAGGGACAAAGAAACTCACAGCACAAACGCCACTGAGGTCGGCACCTTGGTATGTCAGCAAGTGTATCCAGCCATACGTGTTCACCGTCTTTTGGACCCCAACCAGGGAGCCGTGACGCTCCAACCGAGGCTAGCTCCGAAGTGATGGACTTCATTCCCCTGGACCAAGTCATCGCTTGGCCACCTCTCCTCTTCTTCCACCTACATCCCCGGTGAGCAAACAACGCACGTCGCGGGCGTCGGTGGGCTGGCATGCGTAACACGTGGCCGAGCCATCGGAGCCTGGTGCGGGAAATAACGGTGCTGAGCTGTTCAGATCCTTTTCCTGGGCCGTAAACAAGGCGTCGAACACGCTCGTTACTAACGACCAATCTATCAATGATTCCCACATGACTTACGTCGCATTTGTGATTGTGATGTCGACGCCATCCATCAGCTCATATTCCTTGGATCATTGTAGCCAGAATTATTACTTTTAACTCGCTATCGTCTTCCAGCAATTTCTTTACATGTAGGTGGCGCGCTGTCAATGCTGTCACCTTTCTTCTTCAACTTTGCTATTGATGAAGTCATGGAAAGAGCATTCGCTGGACACGACCTAGAAGGTGTGTACCTACTTCCTGGTGAGCGACTTCTTGACTTGGAGTATGCGGACGATATTACCATAATCTGTGACAGCTCCCAAATACGCCAAACAGCACTGAACCGATTAGCACTGGCTGTGCTTTGCTCCATCGAAATGCAAAGTACTTCCCCAAGATCGGCAGGGACCCAACCCTGCGCTAACGCTTTGTGGTGATCTGCTGGAAGTCCCTCAGGAATTCAAGTACCTGGGCAGCTATATTAGCACCCGTGGGATTGAAGATGATGTTACGAACCGTATAGCAAAAGCTCGAGGTGCTTTTGCCAATCTCCGCCACCTGTGGCGCAGACGCGACATTACTGTCGCACTGAAGGGCGGAGTTTACAACGCAGCCGTCCGTTCAACTCTCCTATATGGCTGTGAAACCTGGCCCATCAGATCGTCAGACATAAAGAGGCTCGTCATATTCGATCATCGCTGCCTTCGCAGCTTAGCTCATGTCTGGTGGGAGCACCGCGTGAACAATGAGCGTGTTCGACGTCGCGTATTTGGTGCAATAAGAGCGAGTGAACCGCTCAGCACCATTATATTACGTACCAGGCTCCGATGGCTGGGCCACCTGTTGCGCATGCAAGCACACCGACTTCCGCGACGTGCATTGTTTGCGCGTTGTGAGTGCGGTTGGAAGAGGAGGATGGGGAGGCCAAGTGATGACGTGGTCGAGATAAATGAAAACCCCTACTTCGAAATTGGCGTCGGTTGGTGCATCCCGACTGCATGGCTGGGGTCCTAAGGACGGTGAACACGTTTGGTTGGACACACTTGCTGATATGACTTAGAGCCGGCCCCAGTGGCGTTTGTGTTGTGGGTTCCTTTGTCCATCGCCCTCCTGCTTAGCATCCCTCTCCAATTACGATCTCACTCCTTAAGCATAACTCACTTTTTACGGCACTATAGTGAGCTTTTACTTCTCCGGAACGATGTCCATCCGTTACTGCCTTTTGTATTGTGGCACAATAGCTGAGATGTTTTCCACCTGCAGCTAAGGTGTATAATGATGGTGATGATGCCTCTCTCATTTGAGGGGCAACAGCGGACGCGTATGTTGTCCGCCGTTTAACCGTGTTCACTGTGGCGGGTAGTTCCAACGAAGAATTTGTGGCGAACGCATCTATATGAGCAGCGGCTAATGTCGGGGTAGCTCACTCTGCATCGTTAGACTTACACCGTTCCGAATTGGAGCTTGATGTTTAGCATCGAGTCTGAGGCACTGATTTGTCTGGTTCACGTAGGACAGCTTTCACGACTGCTGCTTGCTGTGCAATCTTTGTCAGCTCCTCGCAATTCTGCGTCAACACAGTTATACTTTTGACGAGCGGGAGAGATGTACACTCAGCGCAGAACCAGAGAGAACCGGTCGTACTATTAGGTTTTATAATCTGGCTGTATTGCGGCACAATAGCTGAGGTGTTTTCCACCTCCAGCTAACGTGTAATGTTGATGATGATGATGGCGCGCAAGTCCAGCTCTCATTGGTTTATGCATTCGCCACCACGTCATCGTTCTCTTGGGACTCAGCAATGGATTGGAACACAGCAACCCGACTTACACACTTTTGGACTTCGGCCCACAGTCCAAATCCACATGTCTGAAAATCATTAAATTACTTTCTCGGTTGTTTATTGACCCTCTTAAAGTTGTTCGAATCTTCCTTCAGATTAGTCGAAACATTGGATTGCTGTTTCAAATGTGACATCTTTCTCTTTTCAAGGTCCCCGATCGGACGGTATTTCAGGATGTTTAGACCCCTCTGAAAGCGAGTACCCAATGAGGTGACCCTTCGTGTCTCAACTAAATCAATCAACACTTCATAAGCTCATCCCGCTCTTGCTTCTGTCAACTTAAACCAACGAGTGCCTTTGGCGATGTTCCTCGTGACACTTTTACTGCGATTCCAACCTGCTTTCGTTTCGGACGCGCTCCCCAGTGACAGCTGATCTCTCCGGCGTCATATTACCGCTAATTGTTTAGCCACTCCTTTGCAAGCCGTGTTGGTACGAGTTCGCTCCGTAGCCTATTTCAGACCGGTGCTGTTTTTACTTTAATGGCTTAAACAGTCTTTATTGACGCCTCTATTATGGTTTACACGCTTGTAGTCCGTGTGGAAAAAATTACCCTACCTTTTATCAATTGTAGATTTTCAAGCACTATCGTGTCCACAAATCGTCCCGTGTTTGGTGCCGATGGCAGTCGAAGTCACTTTGCTGAATTGCTCTCCGTTGCCAGTCACTACGTTTTCATGGGATTGTTGATGTCACAAGCCATCGCCGCCGATACGTCTGGAGTCACTGAATATCACGACTGCAGGCACCACACCCTTCGACGCACAGCCACCTTTAAGTCCGAATCGTCTACACCCTCTTTGCCCAATTTTAGTGGCCACCGAATTTCCCTACCCGTCTTGTCTGTCTTTCGCCTGGGACGCACGCTCTCCTTGCATCGTCTCACGTGGCTATTATTGTTCTCACAGGTAAGCTCTTATGTGTTGTCAACTGCTCTGAATTATCTATCAGCCACTGTTCTCTCCTGACTGTTCACACTAGTTTCCCTCTCATCTAATCACACGGTTTTGCGCTCGATGTAGTTCTGCCCCCCCCCCCCACATGCCTCATGTATGTTCGGTATTAAACCTGTGTAACGCTGAACTTTCCTCACATGGCATATATCCGACGCCAAGTGAAGGCTGGAGCTTTGAAACCGAGTTTACCGTTGCACAGTCTACACTACCTAATTTCTATCAGAGCTGGTTCAGCAAAGCATCGTGATCGATTCATCTCAGTGCTACTGCTTAGGATGTATATGTTTGTGAACTGATCAATCTACTGGCTACCGTCCAGTGGCCTACACTTACACGAACTCAGCTTGCTGAGTATCTTTGCCTAGGCGTCCACCAACTATTAAATGTGGGATGCAAGATACTGCAGTGTTACGTCTTGCACTGATATGGTCGATGCGCATTGAGTACACAAAAAGGCCAATAGTCCTTGTAATCTACTCTTGCGTAACACCGCATGGGAACCCAGAAAGAACAACACTACTGTCTACCAGTTATCAGCAATTCCTCTGATACTTCCTTGGGTCGCTCCTTCGATAGCACCTTGTTATGTCACCTCAGCTCTGTTCTGCTTATGGCTACCGGTCGCCTGTCTCGGTATGCATTGTTTGTGCTGTTTTGCTTGCTTGGATAAAGCCTCACATGCGGTTGAGGAGTACCACCGCGTAGTCCCATCCATTTAGCTTTCTCTCGTTCTGCACCCGCTGTGACATGAATAAAGGGCATTAGCGAACAGATTTAAATTTAAACTGGTGTCCTCAACAGGGACCTAAAAATTATTCGCAGTATATATATATATATATATATATATATATATTCAACGCTCTGTCAATAAACAATTGGCCGAGTACCACAATATATGGGTAACAACAATACGAAGAGAAGAGACAGTAAAAAGAAAGGATACGAAGGTTTGCATGTTGGGGCAGAAAGCTTCCCGGTCACCCAGGCCGAAGAAGAAGGTTGACTTAAAGGACCCCACCCCCGAGCCTTTGCTCTTAGAGACCTAACCCGCAAGGCAGCGGGGTACTTCACTCAAGTTTCTGGATACGAAGATTGTTGACACCCAGGTGGCTCCTTCGCCTTCTTAGTGTTCGGTAGAAGTCCATACAGAAGCCGCTGGCCGCCTTGTTAGGTGCTTAGTTCTGGTTACAGAAGTGAGTGGTCAGTGACCCTATGGCCAGTCATATTCGCTTTGACATGGCGCCGTACGAACTCTTATGGTATTTGATGGAGAATCAGGTGACCAGTCTAGAACTCGCCACTCTCTGAGACGCTGTCGCTGATCGTCCTCCATTGCTTTATCCATCTCACTTGCATAACTTATTCGCGGTTACATCCAGAGGGAGGGCATTCCCAAATCCGCAACCTAAGGGCGCGCCTGATAGCGTACAGTTCCGCCACTGGATTTTTTTGTACTTACAACTTATTCTGACCTTTACACCCGATCATCAAAACTCCTTTTCAGTTTGGCTTCTTGTTCACTTGCTCGTTTCCACCGTTGCTATTATAGATTTTTCCATCGTTACAGTTTCAGACAGCTGACTACACTGCACTCTGGTTCGCCATCACCAATAAACATCGTTTCGATAAGACATCACGTTTACCACTGTATGTACAGCTTGGTGCGGCAGCAGCCCATTAACAGTCACAACATAATCAGCTTGCCCCGACTCGCCAGTGTGTCGGCGATTGAACTGCTTTGCTTCGAGCCGCTATTTTAGATCAAACCTGCCCCAGCTGCAGAAATTGGGCACGACATATGCAGATGAGTTAGTACTGTAACAACCCGCGTAGATGCGCACGCACCCCAATGTGGTGTCCCATCCCATCCCGCGCACAAATACTCACAATTGCATGGCGGCGAAGCGTCTGCACAGCGTACTGGTGTAGTGCCAATAGTTCTTCTGTTTGGATTTATCTTAATTTATCCCCTAGGCGCCGCACTACTCACTCATGGAAATTCTCACTGGAGCGAATAATCTTTCTGACTCGGTTGTCCCATCACCATGCTTCTCTCTCTCTGGTCTTATCTCTACGTTACCACTGTACGAGAAAGAAATTAGCTGATGATTTACTTTACTGCATATTTTAACTCACTATCCTCGGTGAAAGTTGATAGTAGAAACTACAAAAGGAATTGTGTCAGACTGTTTGCTTGAAGTGTACTGGACGTAACCAATCTGAATGAGCGGGCTGGATCACAAGAGCGAACTAGCTAGTCAGTCGGGCGTAAATCGGCGATGCTTAGTCATTTGCACTGCTCCACCGATTCGTTATTATCATTTTCCCGGGCTTAACTTCCTTCCCTGGCTACTTTAAGTGAATCCAAATGAGGGAATTTGCTTGTTTCATCTCGTGACAACCAAATCGTTGTCTATAGGCGGCACGGTGAGCACCGCATGCTATCTGGCACACTTGGAAGAATGCATCAACTGTACGCCGGCACTTCGTACCGACGCTTCTTTACCTCCCGATCACCGAAAATCGGACGTGGATTAGAAATACTTTAAGGTCACCTGCACCTATACAGATGACAAGGCGGACGCCTTATTCCACTTGGATACCTACTGACGGCTGCACAATTTCACCTTTGCTGAATAGCTATTTTACCTCTGGGGGTGTCGTATCTTGCATCATACGGTATAGGGCAGCCTCTGGGACTGCGAAAGCCTCAAGAGATCCACCTCATTTTCACATGAAGCGCAGCTGTTTGTTATGTTGTGATGTTAGTGAGACGTGGAATTTCTGGTCCGGAATGAATCCTTGAGGTGTTTTGATTGTGGTTTAGGATCCTCTTCACACATCTCCCAGACCTGTGGTATTTATCTTCTTAATTTATCGTTGCATGGTTGTGTGTTTATAGTACCCAGCAGTGATATACCACTTGTTTGTTGCATCGATTATCAGAGATTTTCATCTTGTGGAATGATTAATAGTTCCGATTCATATCCACGGGCTCAAACCTACGCGGTGCTAGTAGTTTCTGCTTTATATTGAACACGTTTCGCTGATTTACTTATCCATCTACAGCATAATATCCTGGTTTGGATGGATTATATCTGACAAGAGCATTGTTGGCTAAGTCATCACATACAGTCCTCAGGCGCAAGCAGGTTAATTAACTAGGCGGCTGATTGTGCAATGGAACTCGCCTATCTTGTAGCAATGTAAATTCCATATGATTTGTGTTTACTGATATGAAGTTGTGAACTGATTCAAATAAAAAGACAAAATATATTCTCAATCACGCTGGAAAGAAAACTTCTGAGATGATACAGAGAGACGGACTAACAATTAGAACTTTCCGTGGATATCGGAGGACAAAACTATATCATTACTTTCTGGTAATGCTCCTCCCACAACTGGCTTCGGTTATGCGGTAGCGAGGTCTTTACACAAATCTTTCATATCACAACGGCTCATTTTCGTCTAACTTTTAAGTAAACCCGTTTGTTATTTCTTTCAGCAATATGGTAGGGGTATTTTTCCTCCTTGGTTGGTCATTCGATTTTCTTATGATTTTCTTCGTTCAAAACATTGTATCCCAAATAAAAACCGTCCCGAGCTGGCGCATATGTCACGGACAGGTGATTTTGGCTTCAGAATCAGCCGCATCTTCAGTGTTTTCATCCCGATACTTGATCTGCTTGCGTGTGCGTGGCCTGTGGGCTCTCAATTTTTCGGTTACTGTCAATGCCACGACCCACGTATGATCACAGCCACCGTGATTGGGGGTAAATTTGGGTCGCATACTGATTCTTCGTTATGCGTAGCTCAGTTTTCTCAATCATTCACCTACTAAGAAACAGGAAAGAACGCAAAATCATAATGGTTGACGTTCGTGTAGGGCAAAGGCAAAAGCAAGCCGCTGGGCCATAAACAGTTGGCAGGGTTTCGCTACGTAGTTAACTCAGACCGTTCTTCACGCAGCACTACTAATTCACACATTAACAACTTCGTTGCGTCGATAGAGAAATGCTCGATTAATATTAGTCTACGTCTCTGCAAGACGACGCCTCGATTGTCTTCTGCCTGTTTATTATGACCAGTGACTACGAGATATTGTGGCTATCAGTTTGCCCTACTAAACAGCGTTTCGCGTTCAATCAATGGCGCATTAGAAGTGACTGCTACTTTCTTGATGCTTGACCCGCTCGCTCTGCTCCTGGACATTAAGACATCTACTGGTAGGTCATTCCTAAAAATCAATTACACACCAACATGGGCATTGGTGATTTTATTGGGTTTCAATGCAAATCGAAATACCAGCTATACAACGTGCCATGATCAAAATCGGATGCATCGTTTTGATTACAAAAGCTTGGGGAATGTTACCTCGATTCAATATTTGCTATTCAAGACGCTTTTTCGATATTTCTGTTTAGAAGTCTTTCTCTCGTTGCTATAGTATCCTTTCATACTGCAGCTTCTATCTTCTCTGGAAACACCGCTGCTCGAAACAGTGAAGTACACGTGCAAACTGCCTCGGCAACTTTGCCGGAAAATTTGTTAACGGAAGTATTGCTTTACTGCATGTTAAATGTTTAGTTCACGTTCATTGGTGAAATGTACGCTCAGGTCGATGGAGTGGCGATGGGATCTTCTTCGGGGCCTCTGCTGCCTGACATCTTTTCGGAGAAATTAGAACATGGCTACCTTAGAAAGGTACGTGCGTTATGTTGGTGACACCTTCGTACTTTGCATGTCAGCAAAGCATACGCAGTATAGCTGTTGAAATCTTTTAATGATGCGCATGCTCGTTTCTACTCCACCTGCAAACATGATTCGGACACCGACTGCTTTTTCTGGATTTGGACGTTATCCGTAACTGTGATCTTGCAGTAGAAAGGTGTACAGAAAGCACACACAGTACACTAGTTTCCACAGCACAGTGCAGTTGCAGCATAAGAGGT